TTTACATTTGAGAGGAATTCACATTTTGACGTTGCACCTGAAGCCTTCACCGCAATGCTTCCTCTGTTAAGTCCATTCCCCTCCTCTACGTGGCGGCAGTTGTGATTATGGTAGAGGTAGACGTGGCCGTAGTTGTACTGGTCTCCATCAGGGTAATAATTATAATGAAGATGATGTTTTTGGCATTGTCGTTCTCTTCGTTATGTAATAGTCTTGGTGTTCCCTTAGAAGTACGAAGTACTTGCATCATTAAGACACTTCTTGGGCATGATTTTGTGTATGATAATTGTGGTAATGATACATTTAACGTTCGTGTAATTAATGTGGGTGAATTATAGAGTTTTCAATTGCTTTACCACCATTGCAAAAACGCACAGTCAGTGGCTTTATTTCACAGCTTATATGTGTGTTTTATGTATGCCTGCAATGTGTTTATTTCCAAGATATTCATTAGAGTTTCGTCCACAGGAAGTTAGATTGAAAAGCATTCTTTGGTTTATCTAAATAACGTTAAATATTACCACAATGCTAACAATAAGTAGGACTAATAACATGACATCTTAAATACAGCGGGGACAACTTATGCCTCCGAAAAAACGGAAAGCGTCTCCCGTGGATGTCGCCTAACTTATCCCAGAGAAGATACAGTTCGCTCTTGGTACTTCCAGAACATACTATTTTGATTTACTCTTCGAAGCAGATTGTTACCCCAAAGTAAAGTGTTACAAGGGTATAGATGGTATCGGGAAGACCGTTAGCCACGACTATTTAATTATTCGATCGTCACTGCTTCCAAACGAATGGAGTGCATAATGACATGAAACGAACGTGCCCTGAAGAAAGATTGTCTGCTCAAAGATAGTTCGTCACGCCTGCACTGTCGGAACACTCGCTTCGCCCACGACATTACACACACACACACACACACACACACACACACGCTCCGATTAAAACATGAAGTCCGTTGGCACTTAGTTGTGACGTCATATCGAAAGCTTGAATATTACCATAATGACGTCACTATAGTGACGTTCACGCTCCCGATTGGATTGCTCCGTCACAGCTGATAAAGTGTCAACGGACTTAATTGTAATCGAAGTATCGTTGGTGTCATCTAACTATAGGTGGCCTCGCCTCGCCCCGGCCTCGCCTCGCCCCGGCCTCGCCTCGCCCCGGCCTCGCCTCGGCCTCGCCCCGGCCTCGCCCCGGCCTCGCCCCGGCCTCGCCCCGGCCTCGCCCCTACTTCTCCGTCGCACACACGTGGAAGTGGAATACAGAGGAGTTCTACTCTGTGTACTCTAAGGGACCGCTTTGAGAGACCGGGGAACAAATGAACGTCATACAAGGCTAGGAAATTGCAAGAGATAGTGAAGCCATTTACAAAAAGCTGTCTGTAAACGAATGCACTGTGTAACGTGGTAGTCGTATGTATGTGTATATTGAGAGGTGTATATGTGTGTATATGTATATGTATATATATATATATATTGAGAGGTCGAAGTTAATAGACCTGCCTTAGTCTCCCCGTTGATTTGCGACGCTGCTATGACAACATGAGTGGTCGGGCAGCTTCTGTTTGCTATTCTTATCTTAATCTAACAGTAACAAGTATTGTATTTCTAGGCCAATGACCCTATCTCGATCAGGTTTTGTTCAGTTTCCCTGGTCCTTTGAGAAAATGCTGAGATGGCCCCTTGTTTGCTACTGAACAGTAATATAACTTTGCTCTCTCCACCCAGGGCATCATATTGACTCGTCATACACGATTGTAATTGTATATGTGACTCAATAAATATTATTATTATTATTATTATTATTATTATTGTTGTTGTTGTTGTTGTTGTTAAAGCGGTCCCTTCTTGCAGTAATATATCTGTGCGAGGAAGTACCTCTTAGATCTCCACGCTGTCGAATCGTGTCACCACCCTAGCAGAACGAGCAGAGCTGGCGATCGGTAGCGGATACAAGAGTCGCGTGGATATACTTCTATTTATTTATAGTGGCACTTGATGTAAGTCGTCTGATACGGTGTCATCCAATCGGGAGCTTCAAAGTCACCAGTGTCGTCACGATGGCGACGTTCAAACTCCCGATTGGATGACACACCACACACCGTAACAGCTAGTTAAACTTAAAGTGCCATTGTAAAGAAATCGAAGTATAGACAGTTCGCAGGCTGTCCCCCCCCCTCTCCCCCCGTTATACGATGTTCTTTGACGAGCGATTTCTGGAGTTTTGCGAATTCTGCGCCGCCTCCTCAAGGTAGTCAACCAACTGCTTAGCAATGGCAATTGTACGAGAGCTGTAGGTTGAAAGGAATGAACCTGTATATTCTTCTTATTGCATTACTCAGTACTGCAAGTAATAGAACTCTCTCACTCTGAATTTGGCAGTTGCCAAGTCATCACCTAACTCTGATAATGCTCTCTCACTGCCCAAATCTCAGCCCTGAAGGCAGTTATTTGTATCCCCAGACAATACCAGTGTTGATTGATAATCCGTTAAGGGTTTTGAGGGAAAGGAATATGCTGCAGAAATTTATTGGCACAGCCTTGCCCCATCCGCATTGACGCGTTCTTCCCTAAAGTGCTTCAGCTCTGTGTTGTTCTGAAAAGTGAAAAGCAACCCAGGAATTTTCTATCTGTTCACGAGTACATTGAACAGACGCTATTTCCTTGTCCACTGCAGCACTTCAGGGAAAAACCTATCTTCGCTTGGGAGGATTTGATTGTTACAAATCATAAATTCAAAAGCTTAATACCGAGAGAGAAAAAAAGAACCTCATTTCGCTGCAATCTTGTGGCTAAGCGGTTGATTGGAGAAAAAAACAAAACATAACAGGGAGAGAGATTCTCTTTCATTGGATATCAGGCCATCGTTAACGAAAAAATGGACTTTTGATTTATTTTGAGATAAAATAAGATGATTACCGTTTTTACAAGTTTTTTGCTTATTACATGCACTTTTATGCGCGTTTTTACTCGCATTTATGCGTGCACCAATTTTGCTATACTCTCGTGACTAAACTGGGAGAAAAACGGTTAATGACATTAAATGTAGGTAATTTTATCTTTTCTTATTTTATTTCATATATAGTCATTTACGAAATTGATGGGTTTTGCGTTATTTTGAGAACACTGAAAACGTCACCAAAACTTCATGCTATTTGCTTTTTATGTACCCAATTTTACTGGACGGCTGTTGAAAGTTGTGGGTCAACCGAGAGAAAAAAAAACTGTTAATTGAGATTTACCAAAGTGAATCGCGCTTTCAGTGGCAGTTCTTATGGGAGGAAAATCGCTCTCATATTTTCTCCCTTGGTAATTGCAAAATTACTAAATTCAATATTACCTGTGATATTTGAGGGAAAATGTTTAATTTTCTAGTTTATAGTACTGAGGAAATTTTCACCAACGCGCGTTTTTTTAACAAGCGCCGCGGAACGATCTACAATGCTCTAATGAGGAATCGCCAGTCTTTCCCCTTGTGTGTTCATCGTCTACATCTTACGAATCTCCTGCGGTGAGAAGAGCTATTCAATTCGAGGGAGGAACGCCTCTCTCGATGCCACCGACGCAACACAGGACGTGCGCGAGGGGGTCGGAGGCCCGGGCCATGCAGCTGGCGCGCGGCGGTCTCGCCACGCGGGCTGGGGGGAGCCCTAATCATAGATCTTTCTCTCCTCGCCCACCGCACGCGTGTTTCATTTTATGCAACTCATATCGTCCTTCGTTCCCTTAATACAATTGAACGAACCACCACTACTTCTTTGAGAATGCCCTTGCGAGGAAACTTTCGGTTTGCTCCACATTAAGCGTGTGGGGGTGAGTATATATGCATGTATATACGCATCGCATTGCTGGAAGTTGTTGTTGTGTGCTGATAATGGTAAATTATTGGCAATTTTTTTAATTATCGTATCCAGTTTTTCACAATAATCTTCACTGACTGCAACTTACACTTCGAGTATTATTTTTGCATACTTCAGAGGATAAAATTAGAAAATTTTGCTTCTCGTTCCGTGAAGTGGGTCCCAGCAGGGCACCTTCCGCCTCCCCAGGCCACTAACCATTTGCCATGTTAGTCCACGTTCCCAGGAACCCTCACACGCAGGGAACTGGAAGCTTCAATCTCAGTTCCTGCCCTGTTCTTCCCTGCTGATGCAAACAGCTTCACGGTCCATTGTAAAGAAATTGAAGTGTACACAGTTCGCACGGCCACATACAGGTGCCACGCACCACACACCCAACACACCCACACACACGTTACTACCAACATACCTAATATTTTATTAAACCTTTAGATTTGACAGATCTTTCCACTTATTTGAATGTGATATGTAAATAAAATGCATTTACCGAGGAGTGACCCCAGAAAGTATGAGGGAGGCGTTTCAGGCTTGGATCTGCCTCTGTATTTATACAATTTAAAAATTCTGCAGAAATATATACTAATTTTTCTATATACTTAATTATATATACTTAATTACTTGTTATTGTTTCTGCAATTCTCTCAATCAGATGTAAGTGGCTTAGTTGCCAACAGCATCCACGTGAAAAGTTACAGAAATCCCTTTTCATTAGTTATAATTTGTTATTTTTACTTCAAATTTCTAATATTGTCATGAAGTTATTTAATGTCTGAGTTTTTAAAAAAAAATTAGAGGTAATCGCAGTAATAAAATTCTTAATAACTTCATTATTTATTTTGTGAATCTCTCATTTAAGGGAATGAAGCCCTTGGCTGAAGTTTTGGTACAAAATGTTTTGCCATGTATAATTTTGTTCTGAATGTTCTTCTATTTACATTATGGAGTACACAGTATTAGTTTTCAAACTAAAACAAATGTTATAACATGTTCAATGAATTGATTAGGAAGATAGAAAGTAAAAACTTGCTGGAAGTTTTTGTCAATAAAGAGGGAATATTCTTGTATGATTCCTTGTTAATTTTTGTTTGTATGTTCTTTATGTTTATACTGCTTTCACTTGTGTTCACAGAATACTCCTACAGTAGACTTCTCAGGAAATCCAAACTATGAACCAGATTTTAAGTTTTATGATGGAACTCTGTTGGATGCTGTGAGGCAAAACAACACAGATGTTCACAATTTTTTTCGTTTATTAGCCTTGTGCCACACAGTAATGCCTGAGGAAAGGAACAGTAAGTTCTCTCTTTTCTGTATGTTGTTTTTTTTTTGTAATAAATTTAAGATTTATTTTCAGTTATTGACAAGTTAAAGAAATATATAATATTTCTTTCAGATAAACTTGAATATCAAGCACAGTCCCCAGATGAATCTGCTTTGGTGTCTGCGGCACGGAACTTTGGATTTGTGTTCAAAGAAAGAAGCCCTAACAGCATAACAATAGAGGTATACTCTCTCTGTTTAAACATTAATGAACTGAAAATTATATAATTCTCTTGCTGTATGATAATTATGTACGAAATATTCATTAGGTAAATGGTCAAAAAGAGATGTATGAACTTTTGTGCATTTTGGACTTCAATAATGTGAGAAAAAGAATGTCCGTGATTCTGAGAAGAAAAGGTCAGTTACGTCTTTACTGCAAAGGAGCTGACAATGTTATTTATGAGAGATTAAAAGAAGATAGAGGTGATATGAAAAGTAAAACTCAGGAACATTTGAATGTATGTACACAAAGATTTTTTATGTCACGCCATGAAATATATTATAGCGGTTTGCTGAAATTTTTTGTTGTCGATTTGGTTGTAGAAGTTTGCAGGTGAAGGCCTGCGTACACTGTGCCTTGCAGTTCGCGATTTGGATGAAGTGTTTTTTAACAATTGGAAGCATCGGCATCAAGAAGCTGCTCTGTCCCTCCAAAACCGTGATGAAAAGCTTGATGCAATATATGAAGAAATAGAAAGAGATATGACTCTACTAGGTTTGTGTGTTTGAGTAGGTTTGCTGTTTCTGTTTCATGTATTAAAGATTTTACTAATGCAAATGTGTGATTGGTCAACTTCGAAATTTATGATTTTAGGAGCTACAGCAATAGAAGATAAATTGCAAGATGGAGTACCTCAAACAATAGCAAACCTTGCTCTAGCAGGAATTAAAATATGGGTGTTGACTGGAGACAAACAAGGTGTGAAGATTAAAATTATAGGTTCTGTGGGCAATGTTCCTTTGGAAGTGCGTTATTAACTTGTGCTTGTTTGGACCGCAGAGACTGCTATAAACATAGGCTACTCTTGCCAACTTCTCACCGATGAGATGATCGATATTTTTATCATTGATGCCAGCACTTTTGAAGAAGTGGAGAGCCAGCTGGTAAAATATCGTGAATCTATTCGCAGTGTGTCCAATCACCAAGTGCCAACTGCTGTCAGCATTGTCACTTTCAGGTGGGATCAGCACAGGTAGTGTGAGCAAAGAACACAGAGGCAGAGAGAAATAGGAAAAGTACATCTAAGGACATTAATTGTATTTTGTATTGGGTGAAGGTAAAATGGATATTTTCAAGTGGAAACCATTATTGGAATCAAAATTATTTTCCGAAAGCCTACTGAACTTTTTTACTCTTCATGTTTTCTCAGGTTCAATATAAAGAATTGAAAGGGCATTGGGAAAGACAGTGGATGTTTGTGATTATGTGAAGAGAATAAAATAAAATTTTAATGTAAAACATTATTCCAAAAGAAATTAAGGCCTTTGCTGAGCTGTCAAACAAGGCGGTGAATGCTTTGGAACTGCTACGTCCTGGAAATCGGAGTTCTCTCGTGTTGCAGCATTTGCATTGCAAGGGCAGAGGATAGGTCCCATGAAGGCGTTGGAATGAATGTTCAGATGACTCATTGGACTGAGGACATATTGTAGAAATGTTCTTCATCCAAATTCATCTCATTGGCAGTAGGAAAAAGCTGTTGTTGATCATTTCATGCTTTTTAACATGTTTGTGTAGAGTTTCACAGTGCACAAACAGAAGTACTGCGATGGACTTGATAGTGCATTAATAGTTTGTTGATTTGAAGGGATTTCAGTGACAAAGGGTTCTGATAAAAAACTATTGTCAGAAGAATTTATTAGTGGGTGTGGCATTGTTTTGACAGCTTTATTCAATCTGAATTGATTTCTGAAAATATAACACTATTATTCATGAGGAGTATTGATTTGCAGGAGCTATTCACACTTTTCATGTAACAGGTAAATTTCATTGGGCATTTACTTAATCTATTCAGGTTTGCTGTCATTAAGAAATCAGGCTTGTGAAGAACACCATTTTCTACGTCGTGATTTCAGGAATCGATTTGTTATTTCAGCGCAGACATTGCAGCATGTGGTGATTATTGTTAAGATTTCCAGAGCCGTGTTGAGGAAAATGCAAACAAATCACCAATGCCTAGGGCTTCCCAAATCTTATGTTCTTTGTTCTTGTTTTTGCGTGTTTTTATGTTATTTAACACACTTGCAGAGATACAGTAAATCATGAGTAATTACTCTGGATGCAAAGTTGAATTTAATGCAATTTGTTTATTATTTTAAGATACTTCTTCAGTGCCTAATCATTATTTTTTCATGAAAAGACAATTTTGAATGTTCCAAATGGGGGAATTCAAAAATTAGGCTGGAAATGCTCGTGACAGTGCCAGAGTTAGAATCGCTGATCAGCCTAAAAAACTGAAAGGTCTTTTGGTGCTTATGCTGAACATTGGTACAAACTATCTTCACCCATTACATTTCAAATTTGTTTCACTGCATGTCAGATGTGTAGGCATTTGTATGCTACTTTATCTTCAAATTGTTGATTTGTTGGCAATTTACACCATTAGTGCTCCAAAAACTTCAACCCTTGATTATATAGCAGTTTTTTTCTATATAAATGTAGAGAAACCATTGATCTTTGCTGCGTATTCCCTGGCAATATTGGTATGGACCAATGGTGGGTCCAAACTGCCTTAGTACGAGTTGGGCTTAACTGCTTGAACCCTTTCTGCTAGAGTATGATGGGCGCGAGGACGTTGCACAATGAATCTTCTGTCAGTTATTAAATACATTTAATGATTACATTTTAAATGCATTATGTAAAAATTAAAAATATGATGTGAGAGTTTCAAATGACTGCTGATTTTTAAAATAGTGGAAAAGGGTGTAGTTTGACATATGCCTATAAACAAAAAACTAAGTAGAGACCGTATAAATTCAGCACCTTTGTTATCTTAGTCTTCCATGACCACAATCGCCATGCATCAACCCAATGCAAATTTCCAAATTGCGTCTCTTCCTCTGCTTTTTAAAATTGAAAGGTTAGAATATCCCTTGTTATCTGTCTTTATGATGCTGGGTGCATTTCTCTCTGGCCATTATTCATTATTTGGTATAGTTTTAATAGCTCATTGGAAATTCTTTTCATATTTAATCCTTTATATTTTATTTTTTTGTTCAGTGAATCTGAGTACCAACGTGGTCAGAGCATCGACGATTCAGAAAATGGAAGTTCATTTGCTCTTGTGATTAATGGACATTCTTTGGTGCATGCTTTGCACCCTCAGCTGGAGAAGTTGTTTTTAGATGTTGCAAGTCAGTGTGAGTATAGTTTTGTAACATTTGTATTGTACCTTTAAAACTCCTTGGAAATGTGAAGAGAGAATCTTTCTTCTGTGTTATTTGTGAATTAATGATATTTTTTGTAGGTAAATCCGTCATCTGTTGCCGAGTGACTCCTCTTCAAAAGGCAATGGTAGTTGAATTAATAAAGAAAAATAAGAAAGCGAGAACATTAGCAATTGGTGATGGAGCTAATGATGTATCAATGATCAAAGGTAAGTGAAGTTAAGATATGAGAAGTTTTATTAGTAACAGTCTTGACATTAAAGGGAACGCTCTTCTTAAATTTAACCTGGAATTGGTACAAGTTGAGGCTGCCAGTTGAGAGTTTAGTCTCCCCCTTAAAAGCACTTCTTTTTCTAAATCTCTCTTTAGACTAGGTGTAAAATGTTCATTAATTGACCAGTATTGTTCAACTAACAGAATCAGTTGTATACCTGGCAGTCTGTCATTCCTGTCAATGTAGGGGTATGAAGTCGTAGGCTTCCGCGACCAGAGTCATGTGGGTGATCTGGGCTGTCCGGGTGACGCCGCGTCGAAGGCTGAGTTGCCGACGTTTCGATACCAGCCCTGAGGAAGACCACGACAGGATGGTCGAAACGTCGGCAACTCAGCCTTCGACGCGGCGTCACCCGGACAGCCCAGATCACCCAAATGTAGGGGTACTTCACTGATGAAGTGAAACCATGTAAAGGACAATGAAAGTGCGTTTTGAAAAGTGGAATGGGACAAATCAACTTGTCCTGTATCCTGATTGCTTCTAAGAAATTCAGTATTCAAAGTATTCAAAGGAACGTGTGCTTCTCACACTTTCAGCATGGAAAGTTTGCATCTTTGCACATTGAATCAAGTAGGCTAAAACACTCCACAGATAGAAGTGATGTCAAAAATAATATCTTGTTGGACTCATTTTGGACAAACAGAGAGTTGGGGAATTTCATTGACCAGGAAAAATTTGGGAAGTTAAGAAGAAGAATTATAAATTTGGGAAAATTTTTTGAGTTGATAAAACTGGACAACATTCCCTAAATAATACCATAGTGAGGATAATTTTTGAAAATTTTTTTATTAAAAAAAATTGCTATGTTCAAAATGAATTAAGTTTCTACCTGTGAATAAAAATGTGCAAGCTGCAATAGTGTTCACTTATTGTGTAATTCTTTTAAAACTTATCAGGGTTAGAAACAAACCAATGCTTAATATAAAAGAAACTGGGTTTTATAGGGGAATATTATTTTATAAATTTAGTCCATATAAAATACTGATTTTCATCATTTGAACAGACCAAATGAAATTCAGTACTACCAATTAATATATATGGTGTTTTCAAGGTTTAACCCTCATCTCCCCTACAGTTTTCAGATTTTTCAAACTCTTATAATCTTTTCTAGCAACATACGTTTTTGTTATTATTATGTTTTTGCCTAATAAATTAACACATGTATTCCATGTAGAAAACTTATCAAACAAGTGTGCTTTTTATTGTAAGTTTATTTTGGTTGTGATGAAATTGAAGTACTTAATACCAGCCAATAAAGTTGGTATTTTATAGTCGGTTTATTTTGTACTTGTTTAGTTTTTTGTCCTTGTTTGTATGCATTTGTTTGGAGAAATTTGAGTTTTTAATGAATATTTTGATATGCAAAGTTAATTTTATTTAATGCTATTTGAAATAATTGTAAAATATCAGTAACTATTTAATTTTTTTATATGGTTAAAAACAATTGGAAGTTTTTGGAGCAGGGGAAAATTTAGCTAGACTTAAATCTCTCCCAGCTCAAAGGCATCAGCCCTTGGGTTACTCTTTAACAATTATCAAAATCATAAACATATTCAGCATAAATTAAACAGTAGTGAGAAAGTGATATCTAACATTGCTCCGGAAAAGTCAGGGGAAGTAAGTAATTATTGGAAGTCAGGGAAAATTTTGAGAGGATCATACAAATAGATATTATACAAAAAAAATATATTTTGCTCAGTGTCTATTTGTTAAATTTTTAAATAAATTTTATTTTGTACTTTTGAAGAGAGATCTGGCAACTGCCAAATTATTTGCAGGCTTGCTGTAACATTTTCGTTAATACTTTTAGAGCATTTCAAATTATTTATCAGAGAAAACTTTTTTTAAATGTCCTGGAAAACTGGGAAAAGCCAGGGAAATTTGTTTCAAGAAAGGAGTGACCACCCTGTAGGAACAGGAATAGGTCTGCTGTTTAGAACCTAAATTCTGTGTTTCTTATTCAGCGTGGCTTTCCTTCAAATGTGATCCCTGCCCTGGAAAATTGGAAAAGGAAATTTTTTTTTCAGTGAAACACTCAGAGATTTCCTGAGCACTATTCATTGAAGTCACACAGGCATACATAAAAAGATGTAAAAATGCAACCAAAAATGTTTTTATGTGTACAGATGTTTTTTGTTTTCATGTTTGTTTTTAGATCTCACTTTCTCACTACTGTTTTATCTATGCTGAAAAAATTGAAAGGAATATAAATTTAAAATATTCTGAATTAGTAAAAGGTACTCAAGTCTTGTTTTTATGGAAAACTAAAAACTTAAAAAGCCTGACATTGCTTGGTCATTTATTTATCACCATCATCTAATAGATAGTAGTCCTTAATAGCTTTACTTGGGTTTTACTTTAAAGATGCTTTATGCTCACACCAATAACTGCCCTTTCTTTGCATTTTTAGGTGAAGAAACACGATGTATAATAAAATATACAATTTTTATAAATGTTGTATTTTAAACTGTTTATATCAAACTAGTGTCCTGCATTACCCCTGTATTCATTTTTCACAATCTATTAGACAGGAATTGTATCAGCTTATATTATGAGTAATAATTTGTTTCATCTCTACTGTTCCTGTTGATTAATAAAAAAACTGTTTTCATTCACCCTCATTATGCAAAAAGTTTTTTTTTTTTTTTTTTGGGATGGGAATGTTACATTTTTCAGATGTCTTAACAAAAGAGTAACTTTATGCACACATTGGGAGTATGTAAAATCCCTCATTTTTGCATGATACTAAAAAAAGTTGCAATTCAGGGTAAAATAGTTAAGTATTTTCCTTATTAATATGTCAGGCGTATGTGTTCTACTTTGTGCATTTTAGGTTCTGTGCTGAACACTGAAACGAGATGGTTGAAGTATCAGTAAGATCTTTTAATAGAATTGTAATAAATTTACTTTGGCTCCACAAATCAGCTAGAAAGTTGGTAGTATTTTATAGCATGATTGCAGTGAATAATTTTCCTATTCCATTAGAGTGCAAGTAACAGTGAGTGTGTTTGTGTTTGTGTTGCAGCTGCGCACATCGGAGTCGGAGTGAGTGGCCAGGAGGGGATGCAGGCTGTCTTGGCCTCAGACTACTCAATAGCCCAGTTTCGCTTTCTGGAACGACTCCTCCTTGTACATGGTCGTTGGTCATATTATCGCATGTGCAAGTTCCTCAGATACTTCTTTTATAAAAATTTTGCTTTTACTCTTTGCCATTTTTGGTTTGCCTTCTTTTGTGGATTTAGTGCTCAGGTAAGGTTTTTTCTCATTTATTATGTTATTACCATACTCAACCTACCTAAGCATGTCTTGGAAAGGAAACAATGGGAGAGAGAATATCAAATAATTATGAAATGTGTACAGCATAGCATTTGGTAACCAGTAGAATCGTAAATTGCTTTTAGTGGGTTGAAACTCATTATTAATAGTTATTTCTACTCTTAAAGTGATACTAATGGAATTAAATTATATTAAACAGATTTTAATAAAAATGAATGGTTACGCAAACTTCAGTAGGGATTCAAGTGGAGAGCTGCATGTATTATTGGAAAGAATACATTATCATTTGATGTGATGAAATATTGCACCTACGCAATGCTATGATACTCATTGTTTCTCCACTTAATATTGTGGAACTATTTATACATGTGAGAATAGTATCTTTTCTAATTTCATCAATATTAAAGCAGAAAACCAATGAAATGAATGGAACTTGTAAGAGCACCATGGCGATTATCAGGCCTTGGTTTGCATAGCCTCAGGGATATCGTGCTGATGTAATTAAAATGTCATTGCTATTTCTCTGTCGGTTAATGTAGAATAATTCTCCTCAAATAGATCAGGAGAATTTTCTAATCCTTATATTGTGTTCATTCAATTGTGCTTTGTCGTGCTTCCGGTGTTTCATAATAATTTAGGCTAAGAGCTGAGATACAAGGCAGTTCCTTGCACGCGATGTATTTCAAATTCTTTGTGCTTTGTTGCAGACTGTGTTTGATCCCTTTTTCATCTCTGTTTACAATTTGTTCTACACGTCATGCCCTGTCTTAGCGCTGGGTATATTTGACCAAGATGTAAATGATCGTTATAGTATTATGTATCCAAGATTGTATTCTCCTGGTCATTTTGACCTGCTTTTCAACAAAAAGGAATTTCTGAGGAGTGCTCTGCATGGATTTTTCACATCCTGTGTATTATTTCTCATTCCATATGGTAAGTCTAAAAGTCTCTGAAAATAAATGTAGTAGAATACATATAATTGTAAATGTAAAGGCTATTTGAGAAAAAACAACTTGTGTTGAAAAGTAGAAAATATGTTCTGTGTACAGCTTTTGGAAGATTTGTTTAAGAGCTAAAGTCTTCTGTATTAAAAAATTATTTTAAAGGAAAAATATTCAGCTTCTAAACTCTGAAGTAGCTTATATTTGGCTTTTGCTACGATGCCGTTGATTTGGATTCCCTTCCCCGTGGAAGTATTCCATTCTCAGTGTTAAGTCTTTTGTAGTGAGCAAGGTGATTTTGACACCAATAATTTATCTTGATTTTTTTGGATTTGAGCACAACCTGGTTACTAAACTGATACTTATAAAATAAAGATTTTAGTGAATTCTTTTATACCATACTTTTTACTTACTCACCTATTGCTTAAGCAGTGTAGAGAAAGTATTGTGATCCTGAGAGGAAAAAAGAACTTAATTCCTAGCCCTGGTAACTGAAGGATAAATCTTGTCCCTATTTGAAGTAAATTACTTCCTCTAACATGTGTAGTAGTTAGAATCCACATTTGATGTTTTTTTTATCAATAAATTAATTGACGGCAGCAGGTAAGCAGGATTATTTCCAATCAATCTAACTGATGTCACAGCCTTATGAATTTGAGCCAATATTCTAATTTTTGGGGTACTTTTCCTTGAACCTCAGCATTATTTCTATATTTTTTAAAAACTCTTTCCTCTAATAGGGCAAAAGACACTTAATCTCCTCAGAACAAAGGGCTAGTACTTCATATTTTAAATTCTGGTTTTAGGTTTTCCGCAAGGCAAAGGACACATCTATTATTACAATGTAATCCATTTCTGCATACATTTTTTTATCTCCCAAAAAAATATTTAACTTATAAGTTATATCGGGTCTCAAGTTTTGATATCAACAAGCTTTGTGAAGTGGAATGTACTTAAAAAATCATAAAAGACACAAAGAATTAACTATAAGACTTAATTTATAAAATACAAACTTTTCCCGACTTTGAAAAGTAACAACATCATGGCTTACATATAATTAATAAAATAGAACGTTAGAAAAATTATTGCACATTATTGTGATATTTGTTAATATTGGTAATTAGAGATGAGATGTGCAAATTTTCTTTGAAAAAATGTGCAGACCTTTTTTAGAAAAGACTGTTTGAGCGTGTATGAGAAGTCACAATAAGAAGCTCTTTTTCAATCAATTGTTGGGTTTTTGAGAAACTTCTTAGGAAATTATTTGAAGCAGTTATTGTACTTGCAAATGTGATAATGTACCAGAAATACTCCTTAAGTAATACTTGGCAACATGAGAGAGATTTCAAAAAAATTACATTTGTATAATTTGAAAAAACAAACAAATACATCAAATTGCCATTTATGTCTAGTTTTTTAAATGCATTTGGTACTACCTGTACAAAAAATATAAAAAAACTAGTAGTGCTACAAAAGTTTTTCACTATATTTCTACAGTAGTTAGTGTACAAGGTGTTGATTGCTTGAATGTCCATTTTCCAGGCACTTATAAAGATGGAGTGTCTCCCAAAGGCCATGTTCTCTCAGACCACATGCTGCTTGGAAGTGTGGTAGCAACTATTTTAGTAATAGTTGTGACTGCTCAGGTGAGTGAGTATGGGTAAACCATGCAACTGAAGAAAGGGATTATGGGAAGTTTTCTTTATTGTTTTAAATGATTGCATCATTTTTCATTCTAGTTAATTGAAACAAATATTTTGAATATTACAAAGTTCTGCCAAATAATTATGTACAAAAAAAAGAATGAAAAGAAAACTATAAAACTTTATTTTGTTCCTCTCGTGTAGCTACAAGAAAGCTTAAACTTGCATGAGAGCTTATACTTTCACCATTCTTCTTTTGTATCACATTTGAAGTCTTTGATTTTCCACACAGTTTCTTCTTTCTAAGCATATATCTTTAAGCATGCTCAAAAAGATATTTTGGGAAAATATTTGTCCAGATATTCCTAGACTTCATCTGTATATTCATGAAGAAATTTTACAATGCCTCTAGCTATAAGAGTGAGCAAAGGGGTTAAGAAGATATTCGAAAAGAGTTATTTTACTTACAACAATAAGTGCAAGTAACTTGTTTTCATGCATTTCTTTATAAGAAGATTTATTTTATTCATTCCTTTATTAAAAGATTTTCTTTCCCAAAGATTTATTATCTACACAATTGAAAACACCGAAACATTGCCTGCACAGGATTCTTAACTCTTAAATTACATTTTTAAAGGTGCAAATCATTGGATTGAATTGGATACTGATTAAATGTTATGCCATCCTGAAAATTTTGAAATGGAAGTTCTAGTGAAGTTATGCAGGCAATCAACCCAAAAGAAGTTGCAGAAGTCTGTTAAATGTGTTTGTACTTGAAATAAAATGCATAAGTTATAGTACTATACTTCAAAAATTATTTGGGCAATTGACCGAAGGTGATAATAAATGTAAAAGTAAATAAATTTAACTTCCTGGGAAACATAATTGGGCAAGAACAAGAGGACTTGGAAAACAAAATCCAAAACTTCAACAAAATGAATGGAACACACACAAAAAAAAATAATAATCTGGATTATGAAATCATAAATCTGGACTTTGAGTATTAGGGACCTGAAAAGATAAGAAGTGGCTCAGATGAGAATTCTAAGACACCTACCTTGAATAACAAAATTATTAGAAATCAGAGAAAGATTGAAGGAAAGGAACATATGTGTAGCTATCAAAGAATCGATCAATGATATCAAAGAAAATGGTTGAAACAATTGGAAATAACAGAAGAAATCAGACTAGCAAAGCTAGTGCTGAAATACTAACATATAAGCAGAAGAGAGTGAGAAAGAAGAAACAAAGATCAAACAACAAAGAAAAAGTCCAAGTGGAATAACCACCAGACCCTGTGTGAGATGGGGCACATGTAAACTCCCTCCCATTCCCAATAGATTCAGCCTAACAAAAAAGAAAGATCGTTTTATTGGCTGTGTCATCTACAAAGCTCTAGGTAACATCCATGAGAGATAAGATAAAAAATAATAGATTGTCTAATGTATTTAAATTAATGTAGATGTAACTGAAGTCTACATTTGTTCATTATGAATTCATTTGTGCCTGTATAGGTAAATGCATTCCTTTCCAATTCTTCAGTATCAGTGCCTTTACTGAAATAGAGTAAGGTTGCCTTTACCAATTATCTTTGAATATAGGAGCCTCTTGATGAAGAATGTATGAGCCAAAGTTGTTGATCAACACCTCCAATCAACTTTCACAATGGGTGCACAAAACTAAGATTTTAAGTGAAGCAGTTTGCCTAAAGACAGACTCGCACAATACATTAACATTTCAAGTAGTTCTCAGTGAAAAATTGCAGGGGACCCAAACTAAGATTTTTCTCTTTTGAAGACAGGTCGAAAGCTAGTCTTGTGAGAAGGATCAACATTTACCATTTGTTCAAAAACTTTTACCATCTTAATTGTTTTGGAAATGTCATGTTGATTGAGTGTATCATGATGATTTCAGATCGCCATGGACACCTCCTATTGGACTATGTTCAACCATGTGACAGTATGGGGCTCATTGACTTTTTACTTTGCCCTTCAGTTCTTTTACAATTTTGTTATTCATGGTGCTTATGTGGGTTCACTAAGTAAGGTAAGATTGATTTAGTTTTATAGATTTGATGGAGCAAAGAATGAATTTGGCTGTGGTTAAAATTAACTGTGGTTCATTGTGTGTGTGCAGGCAATGAGTGAAGCCACCTTCTGGTTTACGACAGTGCTCACGGTCACAGTGCTAATGATCCCGGTGCTGGCTTGGCGGTTTTATTTTGTTGATGTGAAACCGACTCTGTCTGATCGTGTGAGACTGAAGCAAAGGCTGGCCCAACTCAGGTGAGTGAATTCCTCAGAGAGAGAGGGAGGGGGGGGAAGGGGTACAGAGGCAAGGGGAGGGAGGGGGATAGAATTTGAAGAAATGTGGAATGCCCACAAGTTTGAGAATTATATTCAGGGAAATCATAACATATGTTTTCGTAGTTGAGGAGATACCTATTCTTAAAAATGAAACCTAAAATGTCAAAAACTAAAATTGATAAAGTTTTCTTCAAATTACTCAATTTTCTGATAAATTTCACATATTTTACTTTCAGTAAAATTCAGTAATTAGTCATTTAAAATCTGTACTTTTGTAGTTTCATGTTCTCCTCACAGAATTATTTACTATACTTCATTCAAAACTCTCAGATTCAAACTCAAATGAAGATAAGTAGTTTAAATTTATTTATTTGTTCATTCATTAATTTATACGGGATCATTCCCCTTGTGATACATCACACACGAAGTATGCAAAGTTTCCTATACAAAGTACAATCAAAAACGCACAGTTTCAAAATTATGGAGTTACGGGCAAGAACATACTAACCCGGAACTTATAAATGATGAGAACAATTATGAAACTTGTCTGAGAAGTCTGTTGTTCATTGACATTTATGATCTTGGAATACAGTTTGGAAGAGAATGATGCCAAGCGATTCTTAAAAGGTTGTTATTAATGCAGTTTGTTCAGAAACCAGTCTCCTGTGGGAGTGAGAGGTACAATATTCCTTTGCAATTTTGATGAATGATTTATACAAACAAAATACAACTAAAGATTAACTTTTAGTACATAAAATTAGTATTATGCATATTATTACATATTGATTATAATGTGAATAAATCAAATAAATTGATAGGGTTTGCAAGCCATTTGTTGTTTGTATTTGCTAATGCTAATATGTCAGAAAAGAATTAAGGATCTTTATTTCAGCTACACAAAAACATCTAGTCAGCTCTTCTACAATAATTATTTTTAAATCCTGAACTAAGGCTAACATTAAATGTAATTCGGGCTGTTCTTTTTATGCAACTCAAACACACATTATTTTCTTTATTTTTATCTTCTTATTCAATTTTTAGTCCCTGAGTAGGTACATGTACCTCCATATAAATCCTAGCCCTGATCATGACTTCTACAATTTAATTCCAAAATACCAAAATGAATAACATTTTTCCCTGGAAGAGGTCTCTATAACAATGTGGTAAAATATTAATTCACATCCTTCCTTTGTGATGGTTTCCTGCCGCCATAAAAGCAAACCAATGATTTTAATTTTAAAAAAATTATACATTTCAAGCTGACTATGAACTGCCTTCCACCAAAGTTCCATAATCTTTCAATATACTCTGAAATATTTTTCCTTCAAATTGAAAACAAAAATTATCCAAGGTGGTTTTTCATTTACTATGACTCGAGACTAGATTTTCATGCACTGTCAAGTGAGAAATTGTTAAAAATTAATTTTTCCAATCCTCCTTTAGAATTCATCTTTTAGTCTGAAAAGAAAAGTTACAGAATATTATTATTTAAAAAATAAGGTTTTTTAAGAAATAAAGTCAGCAGATTTACACCAAATTACAGACTTGTTAAATTTAATTAGTTTCTAATAATTCTTGTTACTTATAAAGCTGTCTTAATACATGTTTGTACGTAGTTCTTGCAAGAGCTTTCAGTGGAATCAAATAAAGTTTGATAAAAACTGTTAATTTGCTGGGGTTTTTTTCCAGATCCAGGCAGTCGCAAGATGTTTTACGAACTCCATCAGCGCGGCGCACACGTCGTTCTATCAGATCTGGTTATGCATTTGCACATCAAGAGGGATTCGGTCGCCTTATTACATCAGGAAAAATTATGCGAAAACTCCCACGTTCAAATGGAGGAGACTTTTTCTTCCCTTCGTTTAGCAACCATGGTGGTCCTTCGAATCTCGGTGGTGTTCCGACTCACATGGAATGATCGGATGTAGTTACTTACTTGCTTGCAGGAACAAGTTTCAAAACGAGTGAATATGTGTGGAACTGCCTAGTATACAGTTATTTAAACGGAGTGGATTACTGTTGAGAAATAAGTCTACTAAAACTGGCCTTTCATCTATGTTTCCTTTTTTGATTTGTTTTATTTATACTCGTTTCTATAAGAGCTAATTTGAAAAGTATCTCCTGTAAGATAAAAGAAAATACAATGGTGCAAAACAATTGAAAATAACTGTGCAACACTATTACTTGTATTTTGTGTTGATGGATGATTATTTGTAAGTGCATATCATGTAGTGAGAAAAGAGCATGTGTGTATGCAAAAATATACCAAATAATTTTTGCAAGTTTCGTTGTCAATGAGAAAATATTTTTCTGTATCAATTGCAGAAGGATTGTCCTTTTGTATTTTAAATGAATGTCTGCAGTATATAATATTTAGAAAGCCAATTTCTTTTTCATATTTTAAATGTCTGAAACTTGCAAATTGCTTTCTGTATTTCCTGTAGTCATTTTTATTGATAATTCAATTTTTAGTGGCCTTCGTGGAATTGGTGTTGCATTTACTGTGTTGGAATGTGGCAAGTGATTTCTCTCTAAACAGGAAAAAGGCTTTATCCAGTTTCTGCCTGCCGCCGCCCTGGAAATTAAGACTGTATAGTACAGTAGTAGTTCCTAACTCTCAATGTTAATGTAATACAGGAAGTAGTCAAATAAAAATGTAAGGTCACAATATTTTTTTATCTCTTGCATATTTAACTTGAGTAACCAGTATTAGCAAAAAATAATGTACAAATGTGTAAGAAACGTGCAATGAAATATTTGCTATGGCAAAGAATACATTTTTTACTAAGATTTCAGAAGAAAAAAGAAAAAAAGAATTGTTAAAGATCTGGGGCACAAAAAGCTATGCAAGTAATTGCAATGGGTTTGTGGAAAATTAGTGTTGCATATATTACAAATATTAACTTTGTTCTGTATTTTGCCAAGAATTTGAAAAAGATTGGTGACAGTGTTTCCAACACTTGTTTTGTGCTCATAAATGCATTAGAAATAAAAGAATTCCATTACATGATACTTAGTATAAAATGTTTAGAAAATTTGAAGATGAAGTTTATGAGAAATTAAGTATTCTTTCACAATTCATTTGTACTCCCAAGAAATGATTTGTATGTTGATAAGTGTTATTGTTATAGTGATAAATTGATCAATTGACAATCTTTCTATCTAAACAAAGAACGACTTTCTTCTTTTGAGTGATTAATATGGATGATGTGACTAATATCATCTGACATGATATTTTTATAGGCTAGAGATGGAACTGTGTACTACCATTAATAGTCTAATGTATACTGTAAAATGCTTTATATTTTTCAACTGATTTTAAATAATAATAATAATAATAAAATAAATGTTGAGTCAAAGAAAAATTTATAATATTGAAGATGGATGATTAGATCTTTCATATTATTTCAAAAAATGTAGAGAAATGAACTTCTCTGTGTGGTGAGGTATTCATTGCAGAATAATGTTGTGAGAAAAAAGTGTGTCGAAACGAATAATGCTCTGAAAATATTTTAATGATGATTTTGAGAAAGGTATGTACTCATCTATATAGTTTTATATTTGTTCTGTTGACAGTATTTCGTCTTAAAAAAACATTAAATTGCTATTGTCTTGATAATATTAAAATAAACTCAAATTTTCTCTCTGCCACAATTAAGTTTGACATGTAATTTGAAGCGATGCGAATTTGTATACAAAATTTTGTGATATATTGTACAGTAAATGGAACAATTGTGTATGCTACCACAATATGAAAATGGTTCTCAAATTAATTCCCTTAAGATCATTTATGCATTAATCAAGTGTAAATTCCTGTACTTAGTTTTGGTTAATATACTCGGACACTTTCATTTTGTACTGGAACCTTTTTAAGAGTAATTATTTGGTGTTAGTGCTTCTTCTCTGCTGTCCATTTTTTCACAGGATGGAATTCTGTGAACTTGCCCTTTGGCTCCCAAATGTGTGGATTTGCTTAATTAAAGTATTTTTAAGAGTTGAATAATCTATACAAAAATCTTTTTTGACAATGCATTCAAATATAACTTAACATCTCAGTGTTATTAATATGGCATACTGAAGGTATTATTCTAGAATATAATTTTGATGATTGGGAATCCATTTTATTGTGACTGTTCTGTTTTGAAACCTAAGAACTACATTTTTTCTTCTGCTGTGTATCTATTGAACATCAGATGCATCATATGAACTAAATCAAGAATCTGCTAGAAATTAAAACCACTTTTTCAAAATCTGCATGGAAGTCTTGTTCACATTATTTCCATCTTTGATTTATTCAGTGACATGCAGAGAAAGGATGAGGATCCAAATTCCTTGTCTTATTGAGGATACTTTACAAATTCTATAATTATGTATTTGATAAAAACATTTCACCAACTTAATTGCAAAACCTCCTGGTCTATTATATTAATTAGCAAAAAAATTTTGGAGCAATAGTAAATAATTAAGTTACTGGTTTATTGTTTCTGAGAAAATTTTTGGAGTAAAGTTTTTGCTTTTTTATTTGCCCTTTCTTAGTTTGAAAAGTTACTGTACTTTTTGATTTGGCAGTTTTAATTTTTCTGCTCAGAAAGCATTAATGAAGAAAGGAATTTCCTCTGGAGTTATGTGCATACCATTAAGTCTCATAGGTTGGATCTGGATGCGAGGTCTGTTTCTGGGACCATCAAAGTTTTCATAACACGTTGGTAAGGGTGTCTCTAAAGTTGGGTGGTTATTGTAGAGAACTTGGATACAAGAAACATTATGTTTCAACTTTTATTTTAAAATAATTTGATTTTTATCCTGTTGCTTATTCATTGGTCAATTATGAGGATGTAATGAAGAAATATTCTTTAACAGATGTCTTAAGTGCCTGGTGTGAATTTTCTTATATCACCAAATTACTTTTGATATCATCATCATCAAAGCTGAGTGTCTTAATATACTATTAAACTAATAAATCCTTGAATAAGTTATACTCAATAATGAAAACTCGTACAGTTGAAAATTAAGTTTGTTTCCTTTCTTTTTTCTTTCTTCCTTTTTATTATTTGTATGTATGCAGTGCATATTGTGATTGTACTTGGGGTAATGACAAAAGCTGCTGCAAATTTGAGGCTTATGTGTTTTGCATTTGCAAGTACCCCATTTAATTTAAGTGTTTAGGAAATTTGAAGATCTTTTGCTTTTATAATTGATAGTGGTTAAAATGTGTAATAATTGCTGTATGTAGTATGATGCTGATAGATATTTTTATGTAGTAGTGTTTCCAGAAATTACTAGCAGCAGAAATTATATGATTGCGGAACATAGAAAATGTGATTTCTAGAAAAATGATTACGAATTGCATTCTTTTATTATTGTGATTTTATGTTGCATTGTTATTTAAATTTTATTTTCTTGATGGAAATTTCTCAGGAATTCGAGAGTTATAAAATTATTTCTGCTTTTTGTCTTAATGAAACTGGAACTCTAATAATTGTTGTTGCTCTTGTTTTTGTTTCAAATATCACATATAGTTATGGTTTTATTATGCTTATATAACAAAAAGAGGTAACATTCTTGAATGTGACCTTTAAAATAAGTGTAATGTACTTAGTTTTGTCTGCCTTGTAGAATTATTGAGCAATATAAGATCATGCAAATCAGTTGTTCAGCGAAGGAGGTTTTTGATGAATATTGGCACTTACAGTAAGAGGAAAAATATAAGTATTTGTATCTAGTTCTTGTATTGAAGTTTCATACTAATTTTTACGTTGCCAGTAAAAATCTGTGATAACATTTTTGTATCCTGTTGTGTTCAAATTTCATTTTAAAGACCATTCAAAGATATTCTATTCCTTTATAGATTTCCCATTTCATATTGCAAGCAGTTTTCACAAATGTAATGCAAATTTAGAGTTAATTTTGCAGTAAAATCGACTGTTATCAAAAGGACATAAAACACATGCATAACTTGTAACAAGCAGTGAAATCTTAATTGTGCAGTACACAAAACAGGATCCAAAAGTATTTCTTTTACATCTCCAAATTGAAATATGTTACAGAAGCATGTTTGTTACACATTTTCATTAAGTGCAATGAAAATATATATATTTTTTTTATAACGTGGAACACCTTATGCAGATTGATACCAAAAAAGGTGATTTTTAAAAAGAATACATTTGGACAATTTCTTCACCTGATGAGTTTGCTACTTCACTGGAGCTTCACTCTTTTTTTAAGTGAAATGTGCAAACTCATTACATTCTTTGTGAATACATATCTGTGAAAAACACAAAATTTAACAGTCGCTATTGAAAATTAAATGAAAAATTCTTTAGTAGTCAAGAATCAACCGGAAATGTCTTCAGGAAACATTTCAGTGATTACATTGCTTCACAAATTGGCAACTTTTATTTAGGAAACCTGTTTTTAACTTTTGAAAAATAAGAAACGAGTGTGATATGTTCATCTCTGTACACTCTTGTTGTCAATGAAAGTGAAAATTTTCTCACCTCAAAAGAATATGCAAGGGAAAGGTTATTAATTAGTAACTCTGAAAAGCATTACTGACAGTTTTTCCCTACACACCGCTTGCCCCATTGAAAAACATGAAACAAGTCTTAAAATTAAACTTACATCTATATACTTAGTTTGTTTTGAACAAAAATGTAAGTGAATATAGATTTGGATATTTTTTGTTTTAATTCATTCAATTTTTGTGGGTTTTTTCATTTCGTTTTTTAATTATTTTTTTTTTATTATTATTATTTAATTTATCAAAAGAAAACAGTTTAATTCTTCAATGTGCAAGACAAATTCAAAAAAACAATATTTAACTTCAGTTATAACGTAATTCTTTATTGTAGCCTTTTATGTAAATTTTTTCTTATTTTATTATCATATATATATTGGTTAATCTTTAGTACAGAGAAGGTTTTGTAATGCTGTGAAAAATTGCAAGATACTTAAAAAATCATTTGTGTAATTTAGAAATAAAAAATACAGCAAAATAGGTTTTAAGTCATCTTAAGGAGTGCGTTTAGAATGATCCATACAAAAATTTGGAAGAAAAAACTTTTGAGCAGTTTTTGAGGAAATGGTGTGTGAGCGGTTTTGAAAACACAGAAATTTGATCTCATTTTCACAGAACACTTTTGAGTTTTGGATTAACTTTGTAAGACTTAAAGCACATGAAATAATGAGAAAGAATTGTGGTTAATGTAAATATTAAAGACTTGAAATACAAATCAAAAACTTAAATTTTTGTAATTTTTGAAAAAACTGGAATAGAACGATATGGCATTTATATAATATTGTAGAGTACATTTAACACTATCCATACCAAACATTTAAAGAAAAAATTTTTAAGCTTTTTTTGAGCGATTTTGTGTTTTTGATATTTTTTAATATTTTACTCAATATGGTGTGAAAACTAAAATTTTCAAAAAAATGTACATGACCTTAATGAAAGTACAAGTATGTACATACAAGTTGTACAAGAAAGTACAAGTATAGAAAACAAATTTAATTTGAAGAAAAAATCTTCATCTAGAATTTTGTAGTTATAGGAAGTTGGCAAAAAAAAATTCAAACTTTGAGTCTTATAGTATCAAACGTAGCATAGTTGTGAATTAAAAATGTTACTTTAAAATGCAACTTTAAAAAAATACAAAATTACTTTGGAGTATAAGCTACCTTACATATTGTATCTTAACGTTTTTATAATCAAAAATCAAACAAGTGAACTGAGAGCAGAGACTGTAACTGTCTACATGTTGTTAGCAGGGTCATTTTCATTGCATTGGGGGCCGCCTATTCTTACTTTCACCCCCCACCTCCCCAATTCAATGCTCGAATATGAAGAAAACCATATCCATTTGCATTGTTTTTGATTTTTTAAATTTTTTTAAAAACCATTTTGAAAACATTTCTTGTGTTTCAATTGAACATTACTCAAATAAAAATTTAAACATATATGTGAAAGTAAGAATAACATTTATAATTACATTGAAAAAAAATAACATTTTAAATAGTTTTAATTTCTTATTCAATTATACAACATAAAATTGACACGCATTAACTAGCAACATTCCATATTATAAATATTATCCAATGATGCACGACACATCACTGCCTTATACCAATTTTTTGCCTATAGTTTATTCATACATCACAATTTTTGAAAGTTTTTTAATTTCATTTTTTGATTAATTTAGTATTAAATAATTTTATTAAGAACTATTGGGAGGCTAGGCCTTTGCATTAACATTACACTGTTTATTAGAAGTATAACTGGTAACAGAATAATTAATCAATGAATAATATGACTACAAAAGATATTGAAATGATTGAAAATATAAATTATCCCCTGGTGAGTGGTTGTTTATCAACTTCAACTGAGTTATGTATAGCTACATATTTGAAAATGATAGTTTTCCAGTTTTTGTTCACATATACAATATTTATAAAGCCAAGTTGGAGATTAATTGGCATGTTGATTCTTTTGGTTAATTACCAAGGTAAGTTGGGAAGTCTTAATTGTATTCAGGCATGAATGTATTGTGAACAAACTATATGAAAATAATTGAAAAACTAGTGGTGTTACATCACATACTTTCTCGCATTATTTCTAAATTTGCAATTTTCCAAAACCGGGAGTTCATAGAAAATGAGACCCACACCATTGTTTTAAGCATTCCTTCTTCAATTTGTGGAAAATATTTGAAGAAAAATTTGGAACGGTTTTTAAGGGGAAAAAAATTAGTAATTTCATGAACTGTAGACACAAATTACTCGAAATCTACTTGTTTTTTGTTTTTTTTTAATTGTACATAATCTTTCCAAAGACCTGATTTTTTAAATTATGATCTTTGTCTAAGAAAAAACTTGCTACCTCCAATTTTGTAGTTTTAAAATATTAACATTTTGCAATTTTCGAAAAAACAACAACAACAACAACAGAAGGTTTGCCGAAAATTGGGCAAGCAGTTGCAGTGATGGGCACTGCCAACAATGGGCACAAATTTTCTTATCAATTCTTCTTAAAAGCTCCATTTTTGCCATGAATGGAAGATGGTCCGTAGTTGGTGTGAAACCTGAATACAAACCCTTTTTGAAGAGCTAATTTTGTACAACAGACTTTATCTGAGGCAAAAATCTCTATTTTCAATTTTTTGGTTTAGAACAGTTTTTTTCAATTTTCGAAAAAAACAAGCAATACCCGAAAACAGTGCCATATTTCTTACCGCTCCTTATTACACATGTGAGAGAAATTTAAAGAAAAAAATTTGAGCGTTTTTTGTAAATTTCATTCCCAAAATAAGTAAAACTACTATTTTTTTCAGAAAATTTTACATGAATTTTTTTGAAGGGCTAATTTTGTACAACACTCTACCTGAGACAAAAATCTGTAGCTCCAGTTTTGAATTTCTTTTACCAATTTTCGAACAATCGGGATTGTCAATGAAAATGAAACCTGCACCATTCTCTTAAACGTATTTTGCAACATTTAACAACAACATTTAATAAAAAAAATTTGGAGACATTTCTTTGAAATGGGGACGACGGGGAGTGTTTATTTTGGAGAAAATCGGGTGAACGGTTTATGCGCTAGCGTTGTGCACAGACAGACGGACGGGCAGACAGACAGACAGACGTTTTGCCGTCAATCAATTTTGCGGTATGAAGGACGCACAAAACATGGATTCTGGCTACATCACGTGTTGAAGGAATTGTTTTCTATATTTAGCAGCTAGCGCTTTTTCCTTATCAGGGCCCGGCATTAAGAGATTTGGGTTGGAAATTCACCGTTTCCCAGCGCACGATTATAATACTTTCTCTTCTTACGTCACTGAGTGCGGTAAAGTAAGAAATGCCTATATTTCGCCCAAAATTAGACGAAAACTTCACATATTTTCAAAAAATTTAACATGAGCTCATTTCAAGATCTGTATTTAAAGAACAAATTTCATAGAGGAAAAAATATGTCTTTAATATTATAGTTCTAGGAAGATGCCCCCCCCCCCCCAAATGCACTATTGCAATTTTCGACAAATCTGGATTTTCAACGAGTCATACACCATTCTTTTAAGCGCCCTTCACGCTATCAAAGGACAAAGTTTAAATAAAACCATTGGTGTCTTTTTCGAGAAAATTCTGAACATGTTTTTTACGCTTCATGTAGCGTTCCCTTAAAAATCAAACTCTCCGTTTGAAACTCCCAAAGCCTGAAGTTCGTTCAGATCCAGTGGCGGCTCGTGCTTTTACCATTAGAGCAGAGCTGCACAGCATTTTGCACCTTGACTGACCCCAGGAGCTGCGTGCAAGCAACTCAAGTGCAAACCATAGAGAAGAGATACAGGTTAGTAACGAAGACTATTACATACAGTTCATTACCTTTTATTTTGGAAACATTTATTGTCGAAGTTTGACAACGTGAACCTAACACAAATTATATATATATATATATATATATATATATATATATATATATATATATATAGAGAGAGAGAGAGAGAGAGAGAGAGAGAGAGAGAGAGAGAGAGAGAGAGTCGAAAAAATATTTTGAAATGACATCACACACAACCTGGCGGTAAGGCGGGTAGTATCTGGGCCTGGCAAGGACAGGACAGGGCAGAGCAGAGCAGAGTAGATGTCGGAATTAAAATTGCTTGAAGGGCTGATAATGTAATTTGCATTGCTACTATGTAATCACAAATTTTGCGTGCTGCTAAATACAAGATTGTACAATTCAATCTTTTAGTTTTAAATTATTTTTAATACGCTGATGTCAATGCAAACGACCTGGGAAGTAGGAGTACCTGCATGAGTACCCGCAAGTTGCGATGTCGTATGTTAGACACTATGGCCGACCAGACCTATTCAGTACATTCACTTGTAACCCACAATGGATCGAAATCAAGCAGGAATTGCAACTCGGCCATATACCACTTGATGGACATGACATCACTGCCCGAGGTTTTAAACAAAATTAAAATCTCTGAATAATTTAATTATAAAACATCGCGTGTCTGGCCAAGACCGTTGTTGGATGTACTTAGTTGAATGGCAAAAGCGTGGTCCGCCACATGCGCACATTTTAATCAGGTTAGTTGACAAAATAAGGCCGGATGAAGTTGATTCCATCATTTCAACTGAAATTCCTGATGTTGACCCAAAATTGCATGCGGTCGTGACGAAGCACGTGATACATGGACCTTGCGGAGTTTTCAACAACTCACCCTGTATGGTCGCCGGTAAGTGTTCCAAACGATACCCAAGGGGCCTGATTGCTGACACAATCACGGGAAATGACAGATACCCATTGTATCGTCGGTGATCGGTAGTTGTGAAGGCAAAAGGACAAAATTTGGATGTAGACAATCGTTGGATTGTGTCATACTCGCCAATATTGTCCAAAGCTTTTGAGGCTCACATCACGTGGAATATTGTAACTCCGTCAAATCAATTAAGTAAATATATAAATATGTTAATAAATGCAGCGATGTGGATATTCTCGCTGTAACAAATGCAAATGACGAAGTATCTCAGTATCAGATGGGTCGCTATGTTAGCTGCAATGACACAATTTGGCGCATCTTTTCCTTTGCGATCCATGAATGACACCCTACAGTAGTTCATTTGGCAGTTTATCTAGAAAACGGACAACGAGTGTATTTCAAATCAAGGCAACGCGGTGGCCAGAGCAGCACGTCCTCCGTCCACTCCGTCCTCCGTTTCTTCTCAGTTTGTCAAACAGATGTTTTCGCTCGCACTTTGCTGTATGGTGATGTTTCACGCTGTTGCACATGGAACGCAGCATCAAAATCGTTTCAGCGGCGAAAACAAGGAACTCAGTTGAAGGACATCCAAATGTATCTGCTTCAGACGCTTTAGTCCTCGTCTACACCGTACATTCGAAAAAAGACGA